GTCAAATAGGTGCTTAAAAGATTTTGGCCAATGGCGGCCATGTTTTTTGAGATATGCAAATATCCTCATAGGCACTCGTGCCACTTTAGACCAAGACGCTGCATACCAATTTTCAAGTCGATCAGACCAATGGCTGCCTAGTTATAGCTGAATTTATGTTTTTTTCTGTCTTATAGCGCCCCCAAGTGGCAGAGGTGCGCAATTCTTTTTATTTGACCAAAGATTGAGCTCATACATATGTGTACCGAGTTTGGTGAAGATATCTCATTCCGTTCAAGAGTTATACCTAAAATAACATTTGGCTAACGTTAGCATAGATGCTTTTTGGGGAACGGTTTCGCGCAACAATCGAAATTTAAACTTTTTTTTGATAATTATTGATATTCAATGTCCACCGAATATTTTTGCAGTGGTTTGGTTCCGATCAGGCGAAAAACCTAGGACTAGTTCGCAAAAGTAAGTTTGGGATATAGGTCAATTTTACGGAAAAACCGTGCGTCCTAGAGAAAATCTGAGAAAATCTGACCCAAGGATCGCAACGATGTAAAATTTTTGAGTCTACGACAAAAGGTGCACGAGTTAGGGCCAAAAATGTCTGAAATTTTAGTTTTTTGCGCTGTAGCGCCACCTATTGGCCGATTGGGCTGAAACTTTGATAGGTTCTCCCCAAATTGAGCTCTATCATTTGGCCAAGTTTCAAGTCTCTAGGCCGTACGGTTTGGCCTGCACGATCAGTTTTAGGGGAGAAGAAGAATAATTTAAAAAAAATTAAAAATCCTAACAATTACAATAGGGTTTCAGCACTTCGTGCTTGAACCCCTAATAATGTTGCAGAGGAAGAAAACCTTAAGGGTGCTAAAATGAATAGATGAATGTGACCCTGCCTGAACCAAAAAAACAGTCTTAAGTAGCACGGGTATATTTGTAGCAATAGCCAAAAATACATTGTATGGGTCAAAATTATCGATTTTTCTTTTATGTCAAAATCATTAGGATATCAAGTAAAGATTATGTTCCATGAAGATATCTTGATAATTTCCTACCATAAATATATAAAAACTTCATTTTTGATTAGTAATAAGCATTGCTGAAGACTTAATTTGGACAACTTTAAAGGTGATTTTCTCAATATACATTTTTTCTTGCACCCTCAGATTCCAGATTTTCAAATAGTTGTATCTCAGCCAGATACACAAACATAAGACACACGCATGCTGAAGTATTAGATATCAGCAGATGGGGAACGGATGCCGATTTGCTGACTCACTCCGCTATAAAGTGTTCATTACGAGATCTTTCCTCTGACAACATCGAAAATGCATTAGAAAGTACAGCGTGAGTTTTAAAACGTGGCCTCTGCGCTGACAGGAAGTTAAAAGATCCATGAAATGAAAAGAGACCGAGATACAACAGCCACAGAAATTGATTTTCTGATGCTAAATGTGGCTGTGGTGGACTGATCAATCACGCTTGTTTGTGAATGTGGCGTTACAGGACGGCCCAGCGTGGTAAACACAATGAAATGGCCCTCAGGAGCCATACAGCTAAAACTGTGGTTGACCAACAAGAACATAATCAGTTCTGCACCATCCACCAAAAACATGTCATGTAATTGGTATGGTTAGTTCTGCAGAGAAATTAGTTACAGGCCCTGTAATGTTTTCATAGTCACTGTGTTAGTCTATTGGAGGAATAGTTATTCTGTTTTGTAGTGAATGGGTGCCGTCAGAATGAGAGTCCAAACAGCTGATAAAAACATCACAATAATCCACACCTCTCCAGTCCATCAGTGAAGCCAAAAGCTGTGTTTGTAAGAAACAAATCCATCATTAAGGGCAATTATTTTGGCCAAAGTGAAGTTAAAAAGGCAAAGTAAATTATTGTGATGTTTTTATCAGCTGTTTGGACTCTTATTCTGACGGCACCCATTCACTACAGAGGATCCATTGCTGAGCAAGTGATGCAATGCTACATTTCTCCAAATCTGATGAAGAAACAAACTCATCCACATCTTGGATGGCCTGAGGGTGAGGACATATTAGCAAATGTTCATTTTTGGGTGAACTATTCCTTTAAGAAGTCAACCTAAGAAAGGATTACTTATAGTTGGAAAGTATTTTAACATCCAAAAAATGACATGCAAATCATCAGAGCATGCAGCAGAGAAAAAGACGGGAGTAATACCTCTCCGGTTAACAGGATCTTTCGCCACATAAGCGACGTAATCAGTCGTGTCCTGTTGATAGAAGACACAGAGAATGATTCAAAGCTAAACTGAGCTAATTCCACTTCTACATGCTTTTATGAGCATGTTTCTTTAAAGCTGTCACATAATGGCAAACAGGATATTTCTTGCACTTTTGAAATGAGTTTGATGTATTACGTACGTTGAAATTCACAACTCATCCTCTAATTATTGAAACTGGACTACAAAAATTACTCATTTGTCAATGGTCATGATGACATCATGAGCTCATTAACATATAACCATCCATACTTTAATATTGAAAGACCAGAACATGTCATGATTATGACATTTACATGAAAAACTGACTCATTCATGAAATCACAATCAAAACAATAATGACTATTATATGAAATTGTCATTATGACATCACCTCTAAGAGCTCATTAACATATGACCGCCTACATTTACACATTATAAACGGCAAATACAACTTATTCATGAAATTGACATATTTTTACACCACAACCATGAGCTCATTAACAGATGACCACCCACATTTACATATTAAAAATTGCTAAACTGACCCATTCACGTTTTCATAATGAGATTTTCCCCCCACTTTCCATAGTTTTACTTCAGTGCTAGGTTAGAATTTTGTGAACTTTATGAATGAAAGATCAAAAGGATAAACATTGCAGATTTATTTTCAAAGCTGCCTCTGCTCATATTTACCAAGGGTGCCAATATTAGTGGAGGGCACTGTACATTAACATACTAAAAACTGCAAAACTGACTCATTCATGAAATTGTCATGATTATGAAATTGCATCTATGATCTCTTTATCATATGACCACCCAAATTTACACATTACAAACAGCAAAAATTACTAATTTTTGAAACTGAGATGATAATGACGTCACATCTTATTAACATATGACCGCCCACATTTATATATTAAAAACTGCAAAAAGGCTTCAGCCTACACCTTTTTCGGGTTAATATGTAAAATTACATATAATTGTTTGGAATAGTGTATGAGGACTGAAATAAATCTACTGAACTGAACTGAATTACTAATTTGTGAAACTGTCATGATTGTGGCATCACACCTATGAGCTCATTAGCATATGACTCAAAAGGATAAACATTGCAGATTTATTTTCAAAGCTGCCTCTGCTCATATTTACCAAGGGTGCCAATATTAGTGGAGGGCACTGTACATTAACATACTAAAAACTGCAAAACTGACTCATTCATGAAATTGTCATGATTATGAAATTGCATCTATGATCTCTTTATCATATGACCACCCAAATTTACACATTACAAACAGCAAAAATTACTAATTTTTGAAACTGAGATGATAATGACGTCACATCTTATTAACATATGACCGCCCACATTTATATATTAAAAACCGCAAAAAGGCTTCAGCCTACACCTTTTTCGGGTTAATATGTAAAATTACATATAATTGTTTGGAATAGTGTATGAGGACTGAAATAAATCTACTGAACTGAACTGAATTGCTAATTTGTGAAACTGTCATGATTGTGGCATCACACCTATGAGCTCATTAGCATATGACCAACCATATTTACATATCAACATCTATTTAATATTCAGCAACCTGATAAAAAACAAGTATGCAGAAACTAGCAATAATGAAGTAATTAAATTATTAAACACAAGTCTTAAAGGTACAGTAGCTTATTTAGTGAAAATAATGGTGGTAATAAATAATCGCTAAAAGCTAACTTGCACAGCTTTTGGTGTAAAAAACATTACAAATAAGATAAATACCACTAGAACATATTTATTATTGGCCCCGTCCTTTATTAACAGAAACACTAAAGTTGTTCTACTGGATATGCTCTTAAACAGCTTCGTTTTTCGGAGCGCTCTGAGATTTGCCATGCAGTGTGGTGAGACTGAATGTCAGCTGAAGAATGAATCACGGGTGTGATGTTGTAAAGTCTTACCGGATCTCCACCGGAGGCAAAGGATATGGACTGCATGTGATGATTGGCTATTATCTGTGGAAACAGGAAGGAGCATCACTCATCTGCAATAGAACACTGCATCCTGAGAATGAGAGAGGAGAGAAGTGTGTTTCTGGACCTGTTTGGAGTCCGGTGTCATCAGGTTTAAACTGCTGGTGGAGATGTTGAGGTTGATACTCATACCAGCAAACTGCAGGTTACTCTTGCCCAGAATACTGGAGAGGAGTTTCGAGGGAGGCTGAGAGAGAGCAACACAGGCTCAGGTTTTCATCTTCAGGCTTTCTTAATTGCTTCTTAACTTCTTACATGTGATAAAGTTTGCAAAATTTGATGATTGCTTATTTCTTAGACTGCTTGATAATTATTTGTTCTGCATCGACATCGTAGCTTCATCCACACAAAATCATGTTCCACAAGGTAAGATGAAATAAATATGTTCTAAATGACTTGTTTAATTTATTATATTATTGCAGTACTGTTATTTTTATTTATTTTAATATATTGCTTTGTTCTGCTTCGAATTGTAGCTTCATCCACAGCGAAATCTCATTGATCCAAAATCATGTGCCGCAAATAATGATGAAATATGTTCTAAATAATTTTGCAATTTTATTTTCTTTTCTTTTTAATATTTTATTTAAAATTGTGTTCATTCTTATTATAATGATGTTTAATTTGTAGTTTTATCATTTTATTTATAATTTATTTTACTAATTTTCGTCCTGCATTGAATAGAAGCTAATGTGAACAGTGAAATCTTACTGGTCCAAAATCATATTCCACAAATAAAATTAAATATTTCCTGAATATTTAAAAAAAAAATATATATATATATATATACCGGTATTTGATTAATTCTCTTATACTGATATTTCATTTGTAGCATTGTTACTTAATCTATTTGACAATTTTTTTTCTGCATTGAATAATAGCTTCGTCCACAGAGAAATCTTACTGCTCCAAAATCATGTTCCACAAATATAGATTAAATATGTTCTAAATTATTTTATTTTCATTATACTGAGACTTCATTTGTAGTAGTATTATTTTACTTTATTTTACTAATTTATTTAGCTGTAAACGCTTTGTCAATTAGAATGCAGTGTTTTGCCTAACACACTAAAATGAAACTGAAATTCAATTCAAATCACTCCAGTCAGTCTTCATTCATATAACAAAATGGAAGAACATTCATCAAATAAAAATCACGCATGCAATGCATCATTCTGTGTTTGTTTGCTAAATCGATCCAATGTTGTGTCATTAAATCGGGACATACGGCATGGCACGGCACGCTTTAAAGCTTTCCTAAAATCCGCACGCACACGTCCCTTTCCATGGCTGCAAACGTGCATCACACACACACACAGCAGGAGGCAGGAGGGCTGATTACTGCTGCTCAGTACAGAATGAGTCACCGTGCTAACAGTATGCCCACACACACACACACACACACACACACACACACACACACACACACACTGCAGCACGCCATTTCTCTTTCTCCAGCCTTTATTTGATCTCTAACCGTCTTTATCTCACTCCAAACCTTCTGATGCTCCTCTTTTAGTCTTTTCCTTACTTATTCCTCCTTTTCCGTCTTATATTTCTCCATCTGCATCAATAACCTCCACCTCTGACCACTTCCTGTTGTCATGTGCAATAATCTATAGCTCTCTCTATCTCTGCTCGTCTCTGGTGTTTTTGAATTAAATTCAACGTAACTCAATTTGCTTCATTCACATTGTTGTCTTAGAAAACGGTCAGGTTTCATGGAAAGCAATAATTGCTCAAGCTAAGACAAATCTGCAGACTTTTTCACATTTTCTGTGCTGATTTGTTAGGGTAAATATGCAGAAGTATGTGGATTGGATTTAAGAATGGTAAAATGTATGAGATCAGAGTACTACACTCTTACTGGTAGCTGAAAGCAATGTTATTTTAGCATCACTGATATGCCATTATAGTTTTTATTAATATTTAAAAATATATATATTTTTATACTTTGAGGTATTTTCATAATTTTTGTTAAAGTTTTAGTAATTTTGCTCCGTTTTATTCATTTTATTTTATTTGTATTAATTTTTTTGTATATAGTTTTTATTAATTTTATTTTCAGTTTTAGGTTTAGTTATTTTAGTACTTAGAGTCAAACTAAACAAAAATGAGAAATGTTGGCTTGGCAGCTAGCTGAGTAAATAATTTTATTTTAAATCACTTAAGGAATTTTATATTAAGATTAAATATATTCTGAATAATTTCATTTTATATTTTAATATTTTATTTCATATTGTATTAAGTCTTATTATATTTATATTTAATTTGTAGCACTGTTACTTTAATTTATTTCACTCATTTTTGTCCTGAACTGAATAGCTTTGTCCACACTGAAATCTCACTGGTCCAAAATCATGTTCCTCAAATAAAGATTAAGTATGTTCTTCTGAATAATTATTTTATTCTGCAACTATAAGTATATAATTTTATATTAAATCACTTAATGTTTATTTTATTTCAAGGCACAAAAATGTTAAGAACCCTGGCTGAAAGCATTTTCAAATGAGCCAAAATGCAAAAAAGTTCGAAGTCCAACTTTACAAGGCTTTATATTGTACTTTTAAGACTTTTTCAAAGCTAAATGCATTGCAATATAACAAGTTTATGTTCAAATGCATTTATTATTTGCTTTAAGATATTTGCACACATTCTGACTGTACCTTTCTCTTGCGCAGAGCTCCTTTGGCACCAGGGACGGCTTCACACACCAGACTGATCGCCTCCCTGCCGAGAGAAATTACAAAAATATGAAGACGTGAGTAATTCTGAAGTACAGAAGCCAGCAACTGTCAAGATGCTGTGTGAAAACAGTGGCACTGCAGCGGCATTCAGTCTGGGATCCATTTGATCACTTTCTGTGAATCTGGCCCAAAGATCGTCGCATATGAATCTAGAATTTTTTATTGTTCATGACGACATCCAGAGAACAGGGTTGCCGAAGGTTGATATTAATAAATATAAACAATAACATAACCATACTAATACTTTACACAAAATATAAAATATTATATAAATAGAATTAAGAAAAATTAGTGCAGATCATTATATTTTTCATATACATATATACAGTATGGTGGCCAAAATTATTAGAACACGAGTTAGTTTTAAGTCAGTTATTTCTATCTTTTGCTGTAGTGTGTCAGTAGGAAATATATACATACATATAGTGGAAAGAAAATAAAGTATATTTTAATACCAAAACTGTTATTTTGCACTGTGACTTCCTTTTCATAGCAATAAGGCACATCTTCCCCATTTTCTTTTCATGCTTTTAGACAATTCTAATCTCATTAATGCTGATTTTCACTAGACGCTCATTACTGTAGTACATTTAAGTAAGCATAATTAAGTAAGCATAAATGCAATGCTACCAATTCTACCATACTGTATACATTTTTTTTTACATTATAGCAATAATTGGGAATTTAAAAAATAACAGTCATTAAAAAATGTAATTACAATAACTTTACAATGCAATAAATATGAATGCTCCTAAAAGCTGGATAAAATATAATTCCTTATTTTTTTCTGGACATGTTCTTGACACATCGATTTTGATCGACTTTTAATGTTTTACACAATACGTTCAACGTTCAAGCTCAGTTTCTGGACCTGTCCTTGTGTCCAGAGAGCGCTCGGGAACGGCTGGTGTGTTCCTGTGAACACTACAGCAGGAAGTCAGGCAGAAAAGAGGATATGACATGTCATCTCCAGCGCTGCTAATGCTAGCGGCCCACACAGCCCAGCGTTCAATAAACAAGCAGCATCCGCTGGGATCCGATCTGATGTTACGCAATGACTCATCAGCACACATTCACATCTCACGCACTCATTTTAGCAACAATAAATGAGTGTTTGGCTGCGGATTCAAATCAAGAAAAAGCATAAAAATGCCATGAAAGAGCTGATAGCAGTCATGTAACGCCACACAGGGTCATTAACTGTGATGTAACCGTAAAGCAACCAAAAAGCAGCGTACAAAAGCCATTAACTGTGATTTAGCAGCAAAACAACAGACAAACATAAATATTTATAAATATATAAACATAAAAGAGAAACATACAATAGAGAAAACAACATCTGAATCACACTCTCCCCAATGTCCTCTCTGTCATATGTACAATTGGAAAGTCCGAATCATTTTAGTGAATTGGTTCATTTAGTTCACAAAAGTCCTTAGGCTGTGTTTTAAAATAGTGCTGTCAAACGATTAATCGCGATTAATCGCATCCAAAATAAACGTTTTTGCTATTATACATAATATATGTGTGTGTGTTGTGTATATTTATTATGTATACATAAATACACACACATACAGCATATATTTTGAAAATATTTACATGTATATATTTATATTCATATCATTTATATCATATATAAATTTGTTTAATATATAAACGTTAAATTTTTCTACAATATATACATGCATGTGTGTGTATTTATATATACATAATAAATGTACAGTATACACACATATATTATGTAAACAAAAACCTTTATTTTGGATGCGATTAATCGTTATTTTAAAGTCACAAAAAACAAACAAATAAATAAAATAAATAAATAAAAATGAATTCTTAAACGTAAATAAATATAAATACAATTATCTGTGCCCTTTTTTATTTCTATAAATAATTTTATTAAAAAATAAACAAACAAATAAGCAAACAAAGTGATCTGTACCCTTTTTGTAAATGTTTTTCGTTTTAATTAATTTTATTTAATAATAAATGTATAAATTGTTAAATAAAATAAAAACCTAGGAAAATAAGGGCAGATAATTAAATCTTTTTATTTTGTGATTATTAATCATATTAATCTATATTTGCACTCAGAGTTGGTAAAACAGTAATTGTATCTCAATTTTATAGTTTTTTTCTATATAAAATAGATTTAGCAACAAACTAAAGTACACTACACTACTATTTATTTTCATTTACTTAAAATGTATTAATAATATGCATAATAATATGTATAATAATATACCTAAAATAATAAATAATTTTAAATTTAGATAAGATATTTTCATTTATTTCACTAACTGTGGAAACTTTATAAATTATCTTTTTTTTTTTATTAGATGGAAAGCATAACTGAATCCCAATTCACATAAAACTAAACAGTAATTGGTAATTCATTAATAGTAATTTGCAATTCGCAATACACTAAAATATTACCAAATTAACCATTATGATGGGAAGTGTGCATCTGTGCATGCTATTTCAGCTAATATTACCCACAATTCCTTGCACAAAATAAAATGAAAACGTTTGTGACTGTGTTATATTTTTTAATTTGTAGAAAGACAGAGAGAGTTGTATTACCGTGTGATTTGTGAGCGTGTGTTGAAGTCCAGGGATCTCATGGACCGGAGAACTTCAATGCAGCCCAAATACTGAAAAAGAAGTGCAGAAATGTGATTAGAACAGCTCATAATCATCTTTTCTTCAAAACTAGATATTGTTATTGCTCACTGTGTGATAAAAAACCACAGTAATTTTCAATCCAACTTCAACTGATTACTTTAAAGTCAACATGATATCAAAATTAAGCCTAATTTCTTTAGACATGTCTGTAGTCTTGTATTTTTCCAGGTGAAATATTGTGCTGTGTGAGTGTGTGATGTGTTGAACAGCACTGACTGCAACATACACTACATTCATTCATCCATAAACAGGAACATTGTGTCCATTTTGGCCTCGTGTCTGTGCTAACATTGCACATCAGCAGGTGGTTTTGGTCCTTTAAGCAGCTTGACATGCTGTGGTTATAATGAACAGTCATTGTACAAACAATAATAATAAACACAGGTTGTGAACCACATGAGGGTGATGATTAATTAATGAAAGTGTCTTCATTTTTTGGGTGAACTATTTCGTTAATACTTTAATCTGCTCGTCTACAGTCTCACACTGTTAAACACACACACACACCACCTCTGACCAATGTCACACATCCACACACACACACACACACTCACACACACCACCTCTGACTAATGTCACACATCCACACACACACACACACATACACACACCACCTCTGACTAATGTCACACATCCACACACACACACACACACATACACACATACACACACCACCTCTGACTAATGTCACACATCCACACACACAAACACACACACACACACACACACACACACAAACACACACACACACACGCACACACACACCACCTCTGACTAATGTCACACATCCACATACAAAACACACACACTGACACGCCGGTTAAACTCACTTTTATGCAGACACACAATTAAACAGTAAACAATAAAACAGAGTAATTCTAAATCATAGAGTGTAATTTCAGGTGTGATTTGGTCTAAACCACAGTATTATCGTGTCTGATCTGATCAAATGTTTTCACATAAACTCACTTTTTTTGGTAAGAGTGGATGGATGTTATTTGTTTTATTTCAGTGTAAAATGAGTCTGTCATTTATGCTAAAATAAAATAAAAATGATTAACTACAAAAGCAACAAAAAAAAACCTGACACTGAAAAAATGCAGTTTTAAGGATTAATCTTGTGTTCTTTAATCTATAAAAAAGCTCATAACACTTACCCTACATGAACTATTTAAGAAAGTATTAATTAAAATCATTAAAAATATATAAAATAAAAAGGATTAATTACAAAAGCAAAAAAACAAAAAAACATATTCATTCCCCTAATATTATTTAATCTATAAAAGGCTCAAAATCCTAACCCTTCATGAACTAAAGTATTAATTACAATAAATAAAATAAAAATATTAAACTAAAAAAGCCACAAAAAAAGGACACTGAAAAAATTGCATGCTTCAGCTTTAAGGATTATTCTCATATTTAATCTATAAAAGGCTCAAACCCTAACCCTAAATGAACCAAATAAGAAAGTATTAAATTAAATTAATTAAATAAAAAAATAAATGATTCACTACAAATGCAAAAAATTAATGATTCATCTCATATTCTTTTATTCTTTAATCTATCCACCTTATTCTTCCCTGTAAATTCTATGGGTCTAGCTTCCAGTCTCATTCACTTCCAGCTATTTTTAGCTGTACAAAACAGATCGTTTTGCTGCTTGATATTGAAAGTTGGTGTGTCTTACCATATTATTTTAATGTATTATCTTAATTATGAACACACTGGTTTGTAATGCAAACAGTAATTTTGCGTAATAATGCAAAACGTTGAAGAATAAGGTGGATAAAAAGCTCAAAATCCTAACCCTATGAACTATGTATAAGAAAGTATTAAGTATTAAAGTAATAATAAATAAAATAAAATAAAAAGAATAACAACAAAAGAAAAAAATGAGAGAGAAGACATTGAAGAAATGTATGCTCCATCTAAAGGATCTCAAACTCAAAACCCTAATCCTAAACGAAATATGAATTTCTTGAATAAAATATAATAAATAAAAAAATGACACTAAAAAAATATATGCTCTAACTTACAGGATTCGTCTCATTTTATTTTATCTTAAATTCGAAATCCTTCAAATAAAATTTATAAAAATCAATAAAATCCAAAAATCATTATAGATAAACAGCCAGCAAACTAGGGCTGCATGATATATCATTTCAGCATCAATATCGCGATGTGGCATTGTTTAGTACATCGATCGTTATATTTATATTGATCATTTTCTTTGCTCACACACAGACACAGTGTCTACACTGCACGCGACAAAGCAACCGATGCAAATCATTTGAACTTTGTGTCTGTACGTCACAAATAGAACGAGGCATCAGTTTACTATCGGGGATTTGTTGTGTCGCGCCGCATCCAGTGTAGACAGCATCACTGATTATAATGGGTTCATAGTATTTTGTCGCGTCCGGTGTAGACACGGTGAGAGCCACGCAGATGCACATGAACACCGAATTCCGTTCACTTCCGCGTCTGTTTGTGCCTGAAATGACACATATGTGCGAAATTACGTCAAAATGTATGTCTCTGCAAGTATCCTTGTAAACACAGTTGCTTATGGCTTAGGTGAAGGTAAACAATTGAGAAAGAAAAGGGATGTGTAACAGTATAATGACAGCAGTTTAATGTTCCTGAGGCTTTCTGTGTCATGAATGTTAATAAAACAACAAAACACAGAGAAAAATCACTTTGGTAGCTTTAACACAGATTTATTAGATTTAATTTACAGTGAAGACTATGCAGTGTTATTTTACGTTTGATTATTCAATTTCTGTACTTGAATACTGTTAGACTTACCTGAAAAACATTTCATTTGTATCTTTGTTCTATTATATATATCTATGCTTGTAATTTGGTTATTTTCTATGCTGATTTGCTCACTTACAAAATCACACCAATCATTGATTTTTTTCCCCAAATAGAGCTATTCAAGTCATCTGGTGATTTTTTATTTCATATTGCAATATACATGTATATTGCACAAAAAAAAAAGATATCGCAATGTGAGTTTTCTTCCAATATCATGCAGCCCTACAGCAAACACACTTGTATGTCAGCTGCGTATCAAAACCGAGCTACGCATGAGGCATCCGTGGAGAACGTGTCACTTCCTCTCCGGTCGATGACATTATCCATAAACCATGACATCACACATCAACACATCTCTGCTTTATTTAGCCTCTCACCTCACTGATCTCTCAATGCTGCATGACTCACTCATTCAGTCTCACTACAACTTTCCTTGACTAAATGAAATGTCACCTGCAGTAACCCACCTGAGGACCGACGAACCCACCGTCACATTCTTCCAGGAACACTGCAAATGCTGATTAGTTAAGTTTACTCAAGTGCTTTATGGAAAATTATCTCCTCACTGCCTCGTTTTTATTGCCCAAATTTACTCTGGTGTACGACTCAAAGCGCAGAAAGGAAACGAGGCCGGAAGCGGACGATGAGTCACTGCAATGTTTTGGCTGAAAACAATGACGGAGGCTTTGAGCTTATTGACTGATTGTATTAGACAAAATAATGTTTGCTTCTGTGTGTAAGCATAATGTAAAAATAATAATAATAACAATATAGATAATGACATAAATATAGGTTTTCAGCAACATTTGTTTTTCATGTTGTTTGTCACCGCAAAGAAGTGTCTACAACACAGTAAAACGTCAAATCAGAAATGACAGAAAAGTAAATGATTCAATATATATTTTAATATTAAATATATATTTATATATTTTAACATTAAATGTATATTGCAATATTTTTTAACACCTATAGGTTTTCAGCAACATACAGTAAAATGGCCAGAAAAGTAAATAACTTTAAATAAATGACAGAAAAGTAAATAATTATAATTAAAATAACATTAAATATACATTTTGGGACAATATATTTTTTTATATACTTTTTTCATGTTTTTTTTTGTCACTGCAAGGAAGTAGCTACTAAATATAGTCCCTAGTAAAAAAAATGCCATAATTAATTTAAAATAAATTTATTTCATAGTAAGTATTCTTCAAAACCATTTACATATTTATTGACATATCACTTAACACCTACTAATATAAAATTATAATTAAACTTTATTTGGAATATTTCTTTATTGCACAATTCACATTTCTTAATATTACACTTAAAATGTGCTTTAATATCACTATTAATAAGGCTTGTATGATCTCTGTATAATATCAGTGTTTAATGCAAAATATTTAAAGTGTACATGAAATATACTTGCAATAGCTACACTTTATCAATATCAAATATACTTAAGTATATTTCAGCACTACTTAAATGCATTAAGCACAAAATTAGTTGTTCCAATTGAGCAGACTTTAAGTTTACCAGTTTGATATAATAAAAGTGCAACTGCAGGGTATTTAAACATGTACATGTATTTGTAGTATAAAAAATTTATGTATTTCAAATACATTTTAGTATTTTTTTTACTAGGGGTACAATGACCATAAAATAAAAAATAAAATAAAAAATGTTATTACACCTATAGGTTTCTAGGAGCTGACAATAAAATGCCAAGATAATTATAGACAGTAAAATTAATTTAAATAAATGACAGAAAATTAAATCAATTAATATATATTGTAACATTAAATATATATTTTGCAATATTATTTTATTTTTTAAACTTTTTTCATGTTTTGTAACTGCAATGTCAATACAAAATGCCATGATAATCAAAGACAGTAAAATGACAAGAAACGTAAATAATTTTAAATAAATGATAGAAATGTAAATCATTTTCCCATAAAATTAAGGCCCAAAACACTCTACAAAAGTATGAAAACGCAAAGGCTTTGCAAGTTCATTTTCTCATGTCGCTGTGTTTTGAAATATATAAGTACATGCTGTATTCTAGGCAATGCCAACAGGGGGCTTTTGCATGAACTGTCTTCTTCTACAATCAGTTTCTATACTCAGATACTGTCATGGAGTTAAGAAATGTTGAGGAGCAAAGTTAAAGTTAGTTAAATAGCTGACATAATGCTATACACAAAATAACAGCAATTTACTTTACATTCATATTCACAGAACGACAACGGATCTTAATAAATGTATCAACAACTACACAGAACAGCACAAAACACACATAAATTAATTGACTCACTATACTGTCAAAAATATGGAATGTGTGCTATATATTCACAACACAGCATGACCTAAGTGCATTATTGCTTTTAATAAAAAAATGTATATATTAAGCTTACAAATTTTCACTTATAAACCTAATCAAGCAAGGGCTGGACCTAATGTCTGTAGTCTGTCTGAACGCTGGTCGCGTGTGTTTGAAAAGCAGTCAATGTCAGCAGCTGTCCTTTTAGTGAAATCGAGCATAGTGTGTGTGTGTGTGTGTGCGTTCATGCACAGGGTCACTCAATAAGTGAACTGTAAAGAATAACACACATTCAGCCCTGCAAAGGGACGCCAGAGGGGTTTAGTAGGGGCACCGCTAACTTTTGTCAACTAACTCTTACCAAAACACATCAAACTCAAACAAGGAGCTAGAAATACTGTCCTTTTCTTTCTCTGTCACTCTCTGTACGTTAAATGCTTAGAGAGACCTTCGTCATAGATAATAAAACACATCAATTTAGTTCCCATCAATTGCACGCCGGTTTGAACGATTTAATTCAGTCGTGCTGGCGCTTCGTGTTTTGCCTCTACAGCAATTGTCTATTCAGAAGGAAAAAAGCTAGAAGGGAATAATGTATGATTCATGCTGCACGAATCCGAGTCACCTTTAGCTCAATGGAGCCGTGAACATGTTTATATGATCGTAAACACATTAGACGATACGCTTAAAATACATGATACCTTAAGATCTGAGGTCAATACGCATTGTCTGTTATACAAATATGTTCGTACAACGGAACTAAAATGCACTTATTAAAGGGGTCACATTTCAAGTTTTCCTTCGTCTTTAGAGTGTTACAAGCTGTTCGTGAATAGATAAGATCCCTAAAGTTGCAAAGACTAAAGTCTCAAACCCAAAGAGATATTCTTTATAAAAGCTAAGACTCGTCCACACCCCCCTAAAACGCCTCGTTTAAACACACCCCCACATGTCTACGTCACTATGTGGGAAGATTTGCATAACACTGCCCAAATGTTCACGCAAAGAAAGAAGGCGTAACTTTTATCCTCGCTGTAGTATTGTTGCCATCGTCGCCATGTCGTGAAGGCACTGTGTGTTTCGTTGTGAAAGCGAAAACTACTTAGTTTGGCCTTCCAATAGAGGACACAACTACAAATCAGTGGTTAAGTTGTATTTACAGCACACGCTTTTCAGACCGATGAGCTTTGTAAAAATCGATGCGTTTCAGAAAGGCGGGGCATAGAGGAGCAACAATAATGTACAGTATGTGGAAAATAATGTGCTTTTTAATCTTAAACCTCATAAACACATTGCATTGCACCAAATACACAAAATAATGTTCTTTTTAGCAACGTCATATGACCCCTTTAAAGCACAAACATCTCAAAAATGTCAGCAAACGACCCTAAAAGGAGACAATGATGTTGGTATTTGTATAATGCATGTATAGAAGACAAATGTACATGCCCTACGGAGTTTTCAAGTGTTTTCGGGAAATCCTTAATGAACGACATATATATATATATATATACATACATACATACATACACATAATTATATTTATGCATTTAAATCAAATGCACAGAAAGCAGGTGCTAAATGCATGCTAAACATGGCATACGTGCACATATTTGCACGAATCAAGATCTTTTGACTGTTGAAGTTATCATGTTTGTCTTTGCATATAGATGTGGACAAGAATAGGTGCTCTGTCCTGCACACGTCATGATCCCCGGAGACGATACAGTAACAGAACTGTAGCCGGAACAACATCCCCCTGGTCTGGTAACTGGTCACCGTGGTTACGCGATTTGCATGCACTTCCCTTTTGATGTGATAAACTTGCAGTTAATTTGAATAGATCAAATCGGCAGAGGTAAAAAATAAGTGGTCGCACGGACAACTGAACCACTATGTCTGTGATATTTAAGGAAAGCAGAGAATATATCACAATAACAATGTACATAGAGAAGATGGATAACTGAACTTATGTTATATTACAAAGGCAGTCAAAGTCTCTGAAATACACATGCGTGTAAGGCTGTGTTATGGTAAAAACATGCTATACTGTATATAATTAATTAAATAAAGCTATTTTGCAAAGCTATGATTGTACAAGACTGTTTCATTTTATTTACATGCAACATCGACACTGTTATTGAACTGAATAATGATACTGTTATCTTCTTTAGAGCTTCTTTACAGCCAATTTTACAACATTCTAACATTATTTTCCTGTTTATTAATGTGAAGCCGTTTTGAAACTATCTGTATTGTATAAAGCGCTATAGAAATAAATGTGATTTAATTTTAACGATGAGGAATATGAAAAATGTAGACTGAGACAAGCTTGATCAATGTCACACTTGCAACTTTCCACATTCAATTTAACTGATGTTTTGTTTTAGTATCACTGAGATACTATTCATATTTCGGATTCGTTTTTATTTTTACATTTTTCTGTATTTTTATTAATTTTAGTTAGTTTTAGCAATTTAGTTGTGTGTTTTTGCCATTTTTATTTTCTTTTTAATGTGTCTATATAGTTTTTTTTATTTTATTTTATAGTTTATATTAGTTATCATATAGTTTATATTGGTTTTTATTTCAGTTTTATTTTTAGATATTGTAGTACATCAAGTTAAATTAAATGAAAATGTGGTTCCTTGGAAACTAGTTTTTTTTTTAAGTATAATACTTTATTTCAAGTAATGTTTGGTTATGATTTTAGTACCCTGGTTGAATTACAGGTGCTTATGATATTAATTTCACTTATAAAATATTAAACACTGGTTATGCATAATCATCCTTTTGATTTGTTTCTATCAAGTTCCAACAAAGAAATCAAATCCAATGAGATGAAGTATCTTCACTTGTTCTAAATTTGGTCATTTACTCAAACAAACATGATTATTTAGTTCATACTGTATTAATTAATTTCCACCTATTTTTTTAACTGTAATATAAAATCCGATTTGCCTCATACCGCCCACCACCACATGCATGTAAGACTCAAGAGGAAACAGACGGCATGTAAACATGGTACTGTATGTGGAGGAACATTCTGTGCTTTTATGGTCACTTGTGAACGTAACAGTGCCGTTTCGAGTCACTGGCGACCTGCATTATTCCAAATCGTACACATAATCCTCTCTGTACCGGCACATGGATGGAAAACAACAAGGGAAACGCAGAAGACAGAAAGCATTTGGATCTTACCTTAACGACATACGTCACTCCAGGTCCGGAAATCTTTTCGCTGGAGTGCAGCCATCCACGAGAAGGCTTATTCACCAGCCCACTGCAGCCCGCGACACCCGTCCCTCCCAGGCCCCAGCCCTCTCCGCCGGGCTGAGACTCTTCCATCCTGCCCTTCTTCCCCGAGCTGGCCGAGCCGGGCTCCAGCGGGGCGTGAGGCGCTCCAGAGGTCGCAGGGAGGGCAGACGAGCCCGGGCTGCCGGATCCGCCTCCTGACGCTCCTCCCTGGAGCTTGGACACAGCCAGGTCCTTGACGGCGGACGGCAGGCCCTTGATGCCCAGCAGTCCAGAGGAGTTGGCGAATTTGAGGTTGGAGACTTTGTTGATGAGGGTGCAAAAGGTGCCGGACTCTTCAGCAGGGTCGGGCAGCAAGACCTCGGCTGGCCGGGCGTACGGAGGGTCGCCCACGGGCAGCGACGGCGGGACGGCCGAGACCTTGGCGTTCATGGAGAGACCGTGCAGAAGCTCATCGACAGACGTCACTGACTCATTCCGGAATCGGTTGTATTTAGCACGGTGAAGCATTCCCCTCGGTGTGCCAGCCTACACACGAACAGACACATCCAACTCCCAGCTGACCGTCCACTTCTTTAGCATGCTGGAGCCGAGAAAGCGTCCTCGAGGGTTCGAAGAAAGAGAGCGAGTGGCCGTCAGGAAAATCCGACGCCGCGCGGCAGCGGCAGCAGGAGCTCGGGGACCAAAAATAAACCACAAAACGCGGAATCCATAGAGACAGAGGACGACGAGAGAGAAAAGCAGCGCGAGGTCGCTCCTCTACAGAGATAGAGAGCCAGAGATGGCAGAGAGAGAGAGACAGAGCTCTAGTGAAGAGATGTCTCTCTCCCCCCCCGCATCCTGGCAGATCCCTGAACATGCATGACTCACTCGGAGAGAGAGAGAGAGAGAGAGAGAGAGACCCTTCTCAACAAAAGACTCACTCAACACTGCAGAGCACTTTCCGTTACAAAAAAACTCCCACTTACAGCTCGGTAGAACCAATCAATTCTCAAAATTCGCCCTGGCCGTAGGAACACCTCTCGCTTTTATTCAGTCCGAATAAACAGAACGGAAAAGATGTGATAAACAGATCACTGTAGTGAAATCCGAGCTCAGTCAGAATAAACTAGAATCAAAATCAGTCCACTGACATAATTCAATGCATAAAGTACCGTGCGTGTTGTTGGATCACATGTACGCCACACAGAATGAAACTTGAGTCGCCGTGCATGGCGATCGCTAATTTTCCGCACACGCAATCGCAGTTTTACTTGAATTCAGAAGCAAGGCTCTCTAGTGAAAAGGTGTGTTGCATGACTTGCCGTTGATTGAGAAATGATAATCTACCAAAATGACATGAAATATTTGAAAGCGTTCACCTTTCGCCCGCAACCGCATCAATCTGGTTGGTTCTACCTCGCTTATCCATCGCCATTGTTAACGGCAAGTTTCAAATGTGCTTGAATTTAAACCACAAGACCGATACGGCTTTATCTCTTTGTTTGTCACATTTGTTCTTCCTTACGTACTACGAAACGTCGGCATAAATCCATCCACGCCAGCACTCGAATATCCCCCCCTACAGAAGGCAAAAGAAGCTGAGCTTTGCTCCTCAATGGGCTTTGTTGAATAATTAAACATCCCTTTCAAACACAACCTCAAGATTCGATCTCACTAAAACGCCATCCAGATTCGGCGGGGATACAACTGTAAATAGTGATGTCAGATCTCCCGGCCCCATTAAAAAGCAGCCGACGGGATGAAGCCCGTGACATTAAGGCAGCAAAAAAACAGCCATTCATGTAAAATGTCCAGAAGAGCTCGTGACAGGGAAGCGGCAGTCATTCACAAGCTTCCTGTACTGCTGCGGCTAACGCACTGCAGTCCCTCCCAGCGTCTCGCTTTTCTGCCTGCCTGCAAATTGAAAAAAAAGAAGAAAAGACAGAGAGAGAGAGAGAGAGAGAGAGAGAGAGAGAGCGAGAGAGGAAGGGATTGTCTTCTTCGCTAAGACAAAGCGTTAAAAGTGCTCCTCGCTTGCTGTTGTCACAGTGATGCAGAAAAAAGATGCTGAGGAGAGGAAGAGAGGATGGTGGGCAAAAATGATTCAGGCTGGCTGTGAATGGAAAGGCAGACGGGCATACCGACGTTTCTGTGAATGAAGTCAGGCCTCGGCAGCTTTCTGCACGGCAATCCCTCGGGATGGATCCCAACTGCCCAATCAGGGAAGAGCAGGATGACTCATTCAGGGTAGGGTGGCTGAATAGTGGGGCAAACCACTTGAATCACAGGTGATGGGAGAATCCATTCTCACTCGAAAGCACTGCGTACTGCTGGCTGCATCGCTTCTAAACTCCTGAAAGCACGCAACCTGCTTCTAAAACGCATCTTGGCGAGATGCACGCCTTTTTCGGAAGAGAACAGCGATGCTCAATTGCACAGTCTGATATACTGGCCCCTCCTGAGTGCACATTTTGCACATTCATATGAATGAAGGCTGATCAAAGAACATAGACTGAACTGAATCGACTGAATTATATGATGCGGCCAGCACAGCTGAGCCGTTTGCTTGCAGTATGTTGATCTGGAAATTAAAAGCAGGCAGCAAAAACAAATAAAAGGAACTAGATTTGTGCATTTCTTGAGGAAAATTTCAGTTGTGATTCTTGTTGCAAAAGTCACCACAAGAATGCAAGGGTGCTGTGAGTGGTTACTGTACAGTTGCTAAGGTGTTCTGAATGTATTTCTTGTAATGCTATGCAGTTGGTAGGATATTAATTGCTATGCAGTTGCTAAGGTGTTCTGAGTGATATTTACTGTGATGCTATGTGGTTGCTAGGGTGTTCTGTGTGGTTTTTATTGTGATGCTGTGTAGTTGCTAGTGTATTAGGATGGTTACCAGAATGCTTATATGCAGTTGCTAATGTGTTCTGAGTGTTTTTTTATTGCTATGAGTTGTTTTTATTGTAATGCTATGCAGTTGGTAGGGTATTGGTTGCTAGGTGGTTGCTATGCAGTAGCTAAGGTATTTGGACAGTTAAACGAATGTTGCTGTGTGGTTGCTAAGGTATTACAGTGGTTGTCAGAATGTTTATATGCAGTTGCTAAGGTGTTCTGAGTGTTTTTATTGTTATTAAGGTGTTCTGAGTGATATTTATTCTGATGCTACACAGTTGCTAGGGTATTTGGATAATTACAAGAATGTTGCTATGTGGTTGCTATGGTGTTCTGGGTGGTTTTTAAATGTTGCTATGGTTTTCTGAGTGGTTTTTATTGTGATGTTGTGCTGTTGCTAGGGTACTAGGATGGCATCCATGATGTTGCTGTGCAGTTGCTAAGGTGTTCTAAGTGTTTTTTATTTGTTGTTAAGGTGTTCTGTGTTTTTTAATGTGATGCTGTGCAGTTGCTAGGGTAATAGGATGGTTGCCAGAAGTTTTATATGTGGGTGCTAAGGTGATTTGAGTGTTTTGTATTGTAATGCTATGCAGTTGATAGGGTATTGGTTGCTAGGTGGTTGCTATGCAGTTGCTAAGGTGTTCTGGGTGATATTTATTTTGATGCTATGCGGTTGCTTGGGTATTCGGATAGTTACAAGAATGTTTCTTTGTGGTTGCTAGGGTGTTCTCAGTGTTTTAATGTGATACTGTGTAGTTGCTATGGTATTAAGATGGTTGCCAGAATGTTGCTATGTGGTTGCTAGGGAGTTCTGAGTGATTTTATTGTGATGCTGTGCTGTTGCTAGGTTATTAGGATGGTTGCCAGAATGTTGATATTTGGTTGCTAAGGTGTTTGTGGGTCTCCACTGTTGAGTGTTTCCACTGTTGCTAGGATGTTGTGTGGTTGCTAGGGGGTTTCTTACTGGTGTGGTTTATTCTTCAATGTAAATCTTTGTTTTTTCAACCGTTTTATTGTCCAGCAGATGAAAAATCCCAAAATCTATGACAGAATCTATGAATCTGATATATTTAAGGAAATGTTAAATTCAAGTTTTAAAATTAGCCTTTACATACAAGAATGAAGGCACATAAAAGATTTGTTGGAATAACATGCACTAATAAAAAAGTAAAAATAATATGCATGGTATTATAATGTTATACTAAAATTAAAACAATGGAAATACCCTTAAGATAACCTGTAGAAAGAAAAGAAAACACATCTTAAGCACGCAGAATAACACAAGTGGATTTTGAACGACTAATTGCCGCTTTGAACGATTACGTAATTTTGGCATCTGTAATTGTAATCACGATTAGAAATCTGATTAATTGTGCAGCCGTAATATGAGGTATGTCACTCTTAAATGGCAAGCTAAAACAAAACACATTTTATTCCAGTGACTAATAGTGAGGTTTAGCGTCCTAAAAGCATTTGTTTAACTAAACTGCAGATTTACAATAGACTATTTTTGTGATGTGGAACTTAAGGACCCTAAAAGATCTGAACGAATGTCTACATACAGTATAAAACATGTAAATACAGAATAAAGAAGTAATATCCACAACATATAGATTAGATTTCATTTCAACACTGCATTTAACAGAGTAAACGTTCCGACTGCATCCAGACACATGCGGTAAGAGAGAGAGACGCTGCCTACAGGAACCTTTACTGTAACCATAGTTTCAAAGACAGCATAGCAACAGGAATGAGGTGAGGAGGCCGGCTTTAATGATTGGCAGCTCACATCCGGCGGATGCCATTGGCTGCTGCCAGTGAGTGTCTTCTGGTGTAGCACGGCATATTCGAGTGTACACTACATGCCACTATGCGTTTGCAGGAAGATGTAATTCAGGTGTTACTAGGATACCACTACATAAGATCCACATTTGTTTTCGTGCAAACAATCTATGATGCAAATACCCGAGGATGAGTCACTATAATTGACTCATGAACAATATTGATTATGGTGGCTCATGTTTTTTGTGTTGTTAAATTCTGATGCATGTAGTATAGAGCATGAAGATGAAATATTATGCATCAGTGCACATCTCAAACAAATCAAATGCACATTTAATGTGTAAATCTTTGAGTTTATTTAATAGTAGTTTGAGTTTATTCAGGTAGTTGACATAATAAGGACATGCATAAAGATTTTTGGTTAAGGAAAGTGGACATTTTCACCCACTTAAATGCCCATTTTGTTTTTTTGAAGCTAAAATTACAGATTTTTATTTATTTTTTTGACAGAATGTTTTTTAAAAGCTTTTCTTGTGAGTTCATAAAAACTGCTTGCATAACATATAATTAGAAATTGTTGTTATAAAGTTTTAGATGAATGAATGGCGCTGTTTATTTCTGTTTTTCTTTTGTTTATTTCTGTTTTCCTCTTCTGTTTCTGTAAGATTTTATTTATTTATTTATTGTTCGTTTTGGGAAAAGTCTTTGTTTGAAAACGTCAAGCACTGACAAAGTTTCATGTAATAAAAATTAAATGTTCTAATCATTAAAAAATAAAAAGCGAAAATCAAATCAAACATTGCTTTCTTTCGGTTATACTTGTTTAAGGGTTACTAAGCTCTCAAACGATGAGCAAACCGCCGAGCATGGATCAAAACACATGACAATACAGTAGTAACATTTCACACTTTACCTTGAGCAGGTTTCTGAGGCAAAAATACATTATTTTTATATTTACAGAAGCATATTCTTAATAATTTTCACAGTCTATTGACAGATAGGTTTCCAGAGCAACCGCGCTTTCCTCCGCCCCCGCCCTTCCGACGTGCCCACGCTGCCTGCAGTCACATGACCTCTGTCAACCAATCAGAAGCGGCGGCTCCGGTTGACTTGCGGGTTCAAAATCAAAACTCTATCGGTTAAATTTGTTCAAGTTGCGAGAGTGAGTTTGATCGAATCAATACATCTGAATATTGTCATACCTGACTTCATTTAACAATGGCTCATAAACAGATCTACTACTCGGATAAATACACAGATGATCTTTATGAATACCGGTAAGATGAAAAACGAGGAGGGTTGAGGCCTCGATGCGGCGTGTTTGTTCGTTTAAACGTCGTTCGTTCTGTCGTAACACTACATCAATGTTGAATGCAAGCTGCTTCGTATGGTTATTAATGCATTTGGTCATTCTAGAGGCAAGTTTTGACGTGCATTCAAAACTAATGGTTGGATTTTGCCCCATGTGCTTTTAGTGTAGTGACGTCACTTTATAGCATCACATTCATGTCTGATTGAAATGCAATGAAATATAGTTGCTTGTCATGTGTGACTTAAACCTGACTACACACAGACTCATGGGGACTCGTGTCACGGTGGGGACCTAAATTGTGGTCCCCACGGGTACAAAAGCTTATAAGTCATACAGAATTACGTTTTTTTGAAAATCTAAAAATGCAGAAAGTTTCCTGTGAGGGGTAGGTTTAGGGGTAGGGTTGGTGTAGGGCAATAGAATATACAGTCTGTACAGTATAAAAACCATTACGCCTATGGAGAGTCCCCACAAACCATAAAAACAAACCTGTGTGTGTGTGTGTGTTTACACTAAAATCAGCTGATCTCTGACCATGTGATTTGAATCTGGCATTTGCCAACTGTGTCCTGAATATTAAAGCCATTATAGGTGAAAAAAAAGGACTAACGTTTGCTTATTCTATTTTTCAGAACCTCATATTCTGCTGTTTAGGAGACCGCTACCAAAACAGTGACGGTCAGAGACACTTGTCTCCTCTGGAACATGCCTGTGGTTGTCAGTGAATACTAGAGAACTTAACCACGTTTCTGGACTCCTGTGACCATGATGCTGCGTTTCACTGCGATTATGCCCGAACAGAATCAAGGGATTGTAGGAAATGCATTTTCAGTGAAAATGTAAGGGCTCTTAACTAAATCATGCGACTCAAGTGCATCTCTGAGTGAAGCTGAACCTTTAATAAAAGTCTGTGCTGCATCGTCAGTGTTTAGAAACCTAAATTAGTGTTTAAGTGGCTGAGCTAAATTCATTTTGGGGATAAAAGATGTACTGTATGCTAAAGGGAGATCATTTGTGTGTATCTAGTTAACGTATTGGCCATTCTCAGGTTGAAATTCTTCGTTTGCATTCATTCTTCAGGGAAGGCGATTGTAATACTGTACAGATGCTTTATAAAGTTTAAAATGTGCTTCTATCAAGTATAAAACTTTGTTAATAAGGTAGTTGTAGAAGAAGAGCCATGATGACGGCACTATCAGCAACTGTGCTACTTAAGAACAGGGTTTATATGGAGAGAGGAAAAAGGTTAAAAATAAAGGATAAATTTACCCTTTATCATAAATTACTTTTGAAAAAAGAATGAAATGATGACTGTGTATACTTATTTTATCCTTGCTGCTCTTTATAATAAAAAATATTAAAATGCCACCTCGTATCTGCTTTGTGTAAAGTTTTTCTATCAGCACTTGATGGCGCCACATTGCAACTAATGCTGTGGTTCGGTGTTCCTAATATTGGACTTAATTGTTAAAGGGATACTTCATTGCTGGCAGGTAGGGTATTGATAAAAAAAATTGGCTGTCTATGCAGTAGAAACGCGGTTTAAAAATGTGCTACACGACTAGAGGGGAAAAAACGAGAATTGAGGGATGTGG